TTACGAGAAGGAGCGTCCAATTTCAATAATTCAAAAAACGTTTTAAGTGTATTGACAAAATGAAGGATTGATTACATTTTAAAAAAGGCAGATCTACCGATCTATCGGAGACGAGTAAATTATGTAAAAAAATGCTATTTGGCGGTCAAACACAATCATTAGAATTATGCAAACATCAAATTATAAGATATTTTATAGAGATTCTATAAAATAATTCTTCTATAATAAGTATACACTTTGTTTACATTTCTATAAGTTCCGTAACATTGTTTATTCGTTAGGCTGCGACGCGGCGCTTACGCGCTTTAATATTTCGTCCCTTCGCAGCTAAAGCAGCGCGGTTGCTTTGAAATAGTTCAAAATTTCCAAAATATTTCGAAATATTAAAACAAAATCTTTTTAATACCCGCTACTACTACTAGTTTTAATCATTAATTCTAATTTTTATCATTTTTAATTTTCTATTAGTTACTAATAGTAAATGAATAATACGTACTCGTAATGTTCAATATTATTTCACATAGGCTAAAAATGTTAGGTTCTTATAATTTGATACATTTCAAAATAGTGTCTATTATTATTCGCTATACTTATGAATATATTATAAATAAATAACTTATGTTCGTATAATATGTGAACGATATAAGGTAGAGCAGGGCTTAAATGTCCGGGGGGTAAAATGGTCCACCACCGATATTTCAAAACCAAGTGAAGTTAAGAATTTTTCAACAACAGTATTTGAAAGTAGAGGGAAAAAGATGTATAACCAGCCTAATCTTGATTCTCACGACGTTTCTATTGGAAGATAAATTGCAATGCTTGAAAATCCAAAAATGATTTTATGAGATGTATTGTTGATTCACGTGTTAGATTCAGTTTTTTTTTCATAATCTCTATAAAAGCTTACAGTGTTACCTCTGTAAAATATGTACCCATGAAATTATGCATTAGTTGAATAATGTAGCTATTATTTCGTAAAATCCCTTTAAAATTGATAATAAGACATTGGATCTGTTTGATCCCAGGCCGTCCCATTTAACTTCCTGTATGGGGTAAAAAGAACCAGATGACAAATTTTTGAACAGCAGTGAAGAACCACATTTCTACTGATGAATAAGTAGGGAGTTTTACTGAACATAGTCAGATAGTTGTTTGATATGTGATATTTGTTGTAATATAATTGGTTTGGTTTTCACAATATAATTGCTCAAAGTCAGATTGGTCCTTTGTGCCCCACCCTACTCTGTGCTAAATCTGGATTTTAGATGGTTAATATATTTTACTTAGTTACTAAATGTACTAAGTAACCAGATTTTATATTGGTTGATCAATATATTAATTATAAATTATTATTATTTTTTTTCAATTTCAAAAGAAGTGAATAAATAATAAAATTAAAAATAACTCAAATGAAAAAATAAAGCTACTAAAAAGTAAATAAGCTACTAAATATATAAATTTAAGTTGCTACAGGATTTTAAATGTTAGAGACTAATGCAATTTATTTAATATTGTACAAATTTACCAAACATGCTAGATTTTTTCAACAAGTAGTCTACATTATTGAAATACTGAAAATCCAAACTCTAAATAATTTTTATCTATAAACCGCTTGTCATAGTCTCGTAATATTTTGAGATGTTTGCTTAAACCATGAGCTCTATTAATAGTCATAAGCAAAAGTTTCATTAAAACGTCGAAAAAAATGTCAACAATCATTCGAACAAATTTTGAGATGAGACTTACCTGCTGGTTGTAAAGAAACGGCTCAGCCGATCGTGGTAAAACACTAATCAACGCTAGTCCTTAATGAGTTTCATTGAATAGCTTTAAATTTTTGAAATGGGTGAAGTCGTTTTTGAAAAACTGCCAAAAAATGACAAATTTTGGCTCGCATACACAATTTTTTTTTTGTTTTTTTTTTAACGTTAAGAACACAAAATAAGCAAAATAAAATCACAACTAGAAAGGTACATCAGTAAAAATCTAACAAGTCACTAGTTGCTTTTTTAAAGGATTGTATTTCATATTAAAAATGTGATTTTGATTGATTATTTATTTATTGTTATTTATTCTTATATGATTTTCATTATGCAAAAATCATTGTGAAATTTTTTACATATTTTTATATAGCTTATACAAATGTTAATAATGTAGATGAGACTTACCTGCTGGTTGTAAAGAAACGGCTCAGCCGATCGTGGTTAAAACACTAATCAACGCTAGTCCTTAATGAGTTTCATTGAATAGCTTTAAATTTTGAAAGGGTGAAGTCGTTTTTGAAAAACTGCCAAAAAATGACAAATTTTGGCTCGCATACACAATTTTTTTTTTTTTTTTTTTTTAACGTTAAGAACACAAAATAAGCAAAATAAAATCACAACTAGAAAGGTACATCAGTAAAAATCTAACAAGTCACTAGTTGCTTTTTTAAAGGATTGTATTTCATATTAAAAATGTGATTTTGATTGATTATTTATTTATTGTTATTTATTCTTATATGATTTTCATTATGCAAAAATCATTGTGAAATTTTTTACATATTTTTATATAGCTTATACAAATGTTAATAATGTTATGTGTGTAATATTTGAGCATAATCTGAGTTATTTTATATCTAATAATATTTTTCTTATTTTTGTATAAAGAAATATAAAAACTGTATAGGGGTTGAAATTCAGTTTACTTTACTAATCACTTATTCACAATGTTATTTCTATAACACTAAATAATTTCCAAATGCGTTCAAATTATTATTTGTGTAAGAAAAAATAAATGTTCATTAACTGTAACTGCAAACTTGTTACGAAACATGAAACGTAATATGTAAATGCACGCAATGCAAATTGCTACTTTTATAAATCTTATTAATGAATTCGTCTTTTTAACGTTATTTCTAATTTTTAATAATTTGGCTCATGTGTTATTAGATTATTTTTTAGAACTAGAGATAATGATATGGTTATGTACATCATTATGTAATTAAAAGAATAAATTAATTTTGCAAGTATTTTATTTATTATTGCTCAATCATAGCGTAATAGATTCAGCCAATTACGAAGTTTATGCGAATGTTAAATGCGTAATTTAATTTATTTAAAACTTGCTTACAAAACGACATACAGTAATATTTTTTACACAATTTTATGCAGCTTGAATTATTTGTCACAGAAAGATATAAACTGAAAAAAACTGCTGGGTACAAAGATGTTTTATTACTGAGAAATATATATTAAGTCAAGCTGTATAAAAATTATATAGCTGGGCATTATTTATATATATATATATATATATATAATATATATATATATATATATACTAAATATGTACAACATTTTGACCATTATTCTGTTTATATGAGACGTGTGCTCTAATAAAAACGGGAGAAAGTGTTGAAAAGTTTTATTCTGGATAAAAATGGGAAATATAATATAGATAATTAGAAATTGGACTGGAACAATATCACAAAAAATTGCACCCATCAAAAGTAAAAAGAAATAGAAGACAACAAAGGAAATCAAATTGCAGACCGAAGATGTTGAGAAAGCGCTGCATATGCAAATGGCTTTTTAATTTTCTTGTTTTATTGAGAAAAGTAAAAATATTACATAGCACATATGTAGTATTGTGTTTATATATTGGATTGATGAAGTGTGTATTTATAATATATTAGTATAGTGCTTCGAACAAGATATTCAAGTGAAACTGTTAAGAAACTGTTTAGCAAACTTTTTAAGAAAGATGTATAATAAGTTATTCACGTCGTTTTGGAATCCATGTATATTTCATCTTCAAGTTATCTATCAAGACCCAGAGCATAGTTATAAATAAAAATACACAAAATATATAAATATGAACATACTACACTTTTTTCGCTATCTTAATTAAATTTAATAAGCTATTTAATAAACCTGAACAATAAAATATCGAAAACAAAATGGATGAAATTTTGTTCCCGAGTATCAATTTGTGGATTTCAAGAATCGAATGAAGTTACCGAAAACAATCATGAAGGCAATATACAAGAACATATGTTAAATAACATTTTCTGCAGTAAGGGACATTGCATATACCCCAATCTTTAGAAAAAATAATAAAACAAAATCAATTAAATAAAAGTTCTGAAGAAAATATAAAATTTCTAGTTTAGAAATTTAAAAATCATAATATTCAAAGAAAGAACAACTGAAGAAAAAATGAAAGGGTTAAACGGAAAATACTGTGTGTTGAATATCCCATAGCCAGAAAAATTTTGAAATTATTTGAAAAGTAGATTATTAACTAATAAAAACTGTGTGAAATGATGATCTCGCATCATGAATCTACCTTCGTGCAGAGAGCTCATGATCATTATTATTATTTCATACATCTTACCTATATGCAGTTGATTTGCGCATGTGTGTGTATCGTATATACGATACAAGGTGTTGTATTAAAATTACGAGTCGAGATTTAATCAAACAGTAGTCTTCACGCCTGTTAACATGTCACCTGCGCCAAAACATGACAATGGTCGGGTGCAACATGTGGCATAATGAAACATTTATACAAGCTTGAGACTCGATATAATTAAGGCGCATATCGTAATGATAATTACGGAAATTGTTCAGGGCACTGTACCGTACCATAATGTATATGCGTTTAATTTTCTCCCTATGTTTCATAGAGCGCGCGTCAAATCGAAGCGAAAGTGTGCAAAGAACCTACACGCTCCTGTCGATTGTCCGTAGTGGGGCCCCCTGGTGCTTCTTGTATATAAAACAATGCGCTCGCTCTGCTAAATCATCAGTACCATTACTGATCTGCACACAGTTACACGAGGCAGATATGAAAATCCTAGTAGGTTGATGATTTCAGAAACCGTCCTATAATTGCGAATAATATCGAAGCATTGGATACTTAGTTCGATAATTATTCATGTGATATAATAATTATAGTGTGGATTATTGAATATGTGTTATAAAAATTAATTATGTTTGCATCATAAAAATTTAATCAAATTACAGGTGGTTCTAGCAGCATCCGCTGCCATTGTTCTGGCGGCCGATAATAAAGAGAAAACTTCTGCCACTGGCGAAGAAAAGAAACAGGATAAGCGAGGAATATTTGAATTTGGTGTTCATGATTTTGGAGGCGGTGGACATGACATCGGCGGTGGTCATGACTTCGGCGGTTCTTCCGGCGGCGGTGGTCACGAATTAGGCGGTGGCGGTCACGATTTCGGCGGTCACGACTTTGGAGGCTCTTCCGGCGGTGGTCACTCATTTGGTGGTCATTCATTTGGTGGATCTTCAGGAGGCGGTCATGAATTTGGTGGTCACGATTTTGGAGGTCATGAACACAAGGAACATATTAAAACAGTGACTGTTGTTAAGAAGATTCCAGTACCTTATACCGTAGAGAAAAAGGTCCCATATACAGTAGAGAAAAAAATTCCCTACGAAGTCAAGGTACCAGTGCCACAACCTTACAATGTAGAGAAGAAAGTACCTTATCCAGTAAAGGTTTACGTTAAAGTACCGGTGCATGTTCCACAACCTTACACCGTTGAGAAAAAGGTCCCTTATGAAGTGAAGTACCCCGTAGATAAACCCTATGAAGTCAAAGTATACGTACCTCAACCATACACCGTCGAGAAAAAGGTACCATATGAAGTGAAAGTTCCTGTTCCCCAACCCTACACTGTTGAGAAGAAAGTACCTTACCCAGTAGAAGTTAAAGTACCTGTTCCCCAACCTTACACCGTAGAGAAGAAAGTACCTTATGAAGTCAAGGTTCCTGTAGACAAACCATATACAGTTCACGTGCCAAAACCATACCACGTCACCGTCGAAAAACCTTACCCAGTGTATGTAGAGAAAAAGGTCCCATACGAAGTTAAAGTGCCAGTAGACAAACCATACACAGTCGAAATCAAGAAACCAGTACCATACGAAGTAAAGGTACAAGTACCACAACCTTACACTGTCGAGAAAAAGGTTCCATACACTGTCGAAAAACCAGTACCTTACGAGGTTAAGGTTCCAGTAGACAAGCCTTATCACGTCTACAAAGAGGTCCCGTATCCAGTTGTTAAAGAGGTGCCTTATCCAGTCAAAGTACCAATCCACGTTCCAGTACATTTGCCAAAGGAGAGCCATTCATGGGGAAGCGAACACTCCGGAGGATATGGACATCACTGAAGCCAAAACAAGATGTAGTTTTTAATTATTTGTTGATAACACAATACCACGTACCTTTGTCATTGTGTGTGAATGTTAATTGTTGTTAAATACGTTTTCATATTGACATAATCATGCTGAAATAAATTTTTTATATTTAATCGACCAAAAGCGTTCTTATTTCAGAAATTTTTATTGTACCTTTTCAGCTAATAATTACAATATATTAATCAATTCAGGCACTGACGAAATATCTATATCAGAAATTGCTTTCTAAAATTTTTCATTCATGTAACAAAGGCATACATTGTATGTACAAAAATAGTTATTACATATTGTATCAATAATTGCACATCGTTATATAAATTAATTATTCGAAATTTTATTGAAAGCGCATCGCTTTATAAAATGTTGTGAAACAAATACGTGAGAATTATTACCTGTGTCGTTTCATAATAAATATAAGGAAATGAAGCAGGAATTTCAAATAATTATACATATATTGCTAAGCGCAAGCCGAGCTTGTGCACTGAGAGTGCGCAATGGATTAGCACATAATTTATATTACATTTAAGTTAATCTTGATTTGGCAACATATTTATGTATTTTTGTTTATCAATTATATATATTATCTAAAGTTATTAGAGTGTATAGCCAGGGCCGGTCCTGGGGTCCTTAGCGCCCGCATGCAACTTTTTTCCTAGCGCCCCCCCCCCTCCTTATTAATTTTAACTGTTTTAACAGTTTATCATTAAAAATATATAAATATTTTTATATTTTTTAAAATATAAAATTTATATTTTTAAAAATTAATTTTTAATTATTCTGGATTAGTTCTGCATTTAGAAGTATTGTCAAAAATCAGTAAAAAATGCAAAGAAATTACACATTTCTTGAACTATATTGAGTTCAAGTTGACTTAAACATATATAACTTAAAATATATATGTTTGATATGTATTTTTTCTGCATAGTTAATAATTATTAAATTAAGAGTATGGACACCACAAGGTATAAAAAAGCCTTAAGATTTTAATTCCAAAGTAAATTTTGCTTCCATTTTTCATATTTGTTCCATTTCCTTAACCCTAATCACGCATGTCTTCAACATTCAGAACTCATCAGAAGCAAAACATTTGCAACAAAAGCAAAAGTTACAACTCAATTTCTCGGAATAAACATGCCATTTTCTAAGCACTGACTCCCCATTTTTTATTTACCCGATTATAATTTGTTTATATTTTTAACAAGACCCGTTTCAACTGAATCAGCTCGCAATTTTTCGTCAATAATGTTCAATAATTGATTTAATCTTTCGCAGGTTTGCGCTTATGGGATTGAACACTAGATTTTTTTTCGATTCCACGGTAACTTCAACAAAGAAAAAATTGAACAAGTAGATTAAGCAATAAACAGAGCTGTTATTTACTAATTTCCAGAGTTATTAATCGGTTAATTGTTTCTACTTATATATATCACATTGCAAATTAAATATGCTTTTTGTGTCTATATATTCATATTAAAGTTAGACTATTTATTATAACCTATTAAGTTTTCTTGAGTTTATATTTTTTAAAATATATAAATAATATATTATAAATTTAATTTCCGAAACTCGTTTTGGCGCCCCCTAAGGCGTGCGCCCGCATTTTTGTGTATAAATTTGTGTGTATAGCAAACTATAAAATACAAATAAATAATATATGTTACTAAAAATTAAATTAAGTCTATTACAGAGTAAATTTATTTATGTTAAAAACTGCCTAAAAGTTATGAAGACTTTAAAACCATTAATAATAATTGACATTTTACAAATTATAGCCAATTATTAAATTTATCAAATGGCATCAAAAATGCGTTTCTCGTAATAATTATATAGACCAAGTTTTAAATATATTACATGTTTGCAAATTAAAAACATATATTTCAATTAAAATAAAAATCTTTGTTTTAGTCTTGTAAATAAAGTTTTTTATTTAATGTTAATTTTATATGATAATTTAAAAAAAAATGTGTATTGGTATGAAACTAAATTATGTAGAAAGCCAATGCTTACTTTGCTTTACCGTGCATATTTTGATGTAGTTTTAATATTTAACTATTGGTGCATGGCAACGTGCCTCAAGGCAAATTGCTGGAACTTCCCGTACCGAAAATTATTTTTTTTAGAAAAGGCTTTAAAATTTTTTGTGCACTTTGAAATAATTAGATTTTTAAGAATCTTGAAGTTTTTGAAAAAGTTTGACTTTTTTTTAATTTGAAATATTTTTTTAAATTTGAAATATTTTATTATAATTTAAAAATTTGGAACTTTTTTAAAGCAACCTAACTGCATTAGCTGCGTAGAGACAAAATGTCAAAGGGCGTAAACGCCGCATCGCAGTCTAACAGATGAGCATTGGTACGGAACTCATAGAATTGTCAACAAAATTTGTACTTATTAAAATCTCTATAAAATATCTGATAATTTGATGTGAATGTGTCTAATGATTATTTTTGACCGCTTTATACCTGCTCTCCCAAATATTTAATCATTTCTTCATTTCGGTAATGCAAATATAATGTTTTTTGAATCAATGGAATCGGACGCTCCGTTCTCTCAAAAAGTAAAGTGCCGTTTTTGGCACTTATTGCCCCGTATTTTTGAAACGGCTGGACCTGCCTTAGCAAAAACCAATTAGAACGTCTTCTTATCAATAGGAATCGAATGTTTTTTGAATTATTCAAATCGGTTAGTGTTCACAGAATCATAAACGAAATTTTATTTATATCCGAACACACACACACATATACATACAAATACATACACATCAATTTTCAGAATATTTAAAACATAAAGATGAGTAAAAACTTTCATTTTCGATTTTTTTGCGATTACTATAACTTACCCTACGGGAAGTTATTAATTTAATCTGAAATTAAGAGTTATCAAATTAATTATATTGCTAAAATTTATATAAAATCTAATTCATTCTTAATACGTAATTATACATATCAAATACTATTTGATGGCATTTAACTATTTTTTCTTCTAAAAATCTGTATTTGAATATTTTTGATTTAAAAATAAAATTTAAGCTGCTAGAACAGAAATTAGCTTGGCATGTTTTACTGCAAAAGTTTAAGTCAACTAGTAATGTATGGAATCGTGCCTTAAAGCAAATTGTTGGAACTTCCCGTACCGTAATAAAATATTTGAGGAATATTAAAGGCTTTCAAATAGATTATTATAAATCTGTAACTTTTATTATTCCTATTTTATATATAAAATATAAGAGCTTATAAATTAGACGACAACATTTGAAAAGTAAATAAATAAAACTTAATCAATCGGATTTAAAATGAAGGACATTGTCTATTATTCATAAGAATTATATAAACTGAATTGCAAAGTTAAAATTATTTATTTGAAGTATATAAGTAAGCTTTAACACTTTAGCTTTAGCTTTAACACTTTAGAAAATTATAATTCGAATTATTTTCGATATTAAAAAAAATAATTTTGAAATAAAAAAAAAATCATCAAGCAGGAAGTTTTTGGAATCATTCAAATCTGATTCTTAGTTCTCGCGAAAACTGTCGTTTTTGCACGTTTAGGTTTATATGTTTAAAACGGCTAGACCTGCCAAAAACTAATCACCACTTCTCTGCATCATGACGAACTGAATGAATTCTGGATCATTCAAATCGGATGCTATGTTCTCTCAAAAACTCGAATTTTATTTTTTTACACTCTTTTCTCGGTATCTTCGAAACGGACCTGAAAATATGCACAGAATTTAAGTTTTGATGTTTAGACGATTACAATAACTTAGGCTACGGAAAGTTAAATATGCTAATTTGGATTATGTAAAAATATATTCACAACAAGAAAAGACAACCATTGGGTCGTCTTCTCGCAGTTACCTGTAAAAATTAACAAAATAATTTTTAAGTGTCTACATAAAATAGTCAGATTTGTAATTTATATGGATATTTATAAGCAGTTTATAAAATAAATTTAGCGGTGGAAAAAACAGACTTTGACTCAGTACTTGATCAAGAGTTTATAAAACATTTGAATAACTTGGTGACTAGCTGTTTTACTATATGATACATTATTTCTTTGGTGCGATTTTTATTTAAAATCACCATTTTTAAAAGTTTATAGTTAATATGAACTTAATGAATTTCCATTTTATTTCATATTCGCGCTGTTCATCGTGGCGTTACGTTATTTTCTTTACGACTGCACTTAGGTAACATCAACGGCACACGATCATAATTAAAGTGTGAGTAAAACTATTATTGTCGCTTTCTTCGGATTACACATATTTATTGTTTAGGCAAATTTCATAATAATTCTATTTACAGACTCATCTGCCTAAGAAAAAAATATACAGTAAGTGGCAGAACTGTTTCTTTTCGAATTTTGAATTTCGCTTCGAATCTTTTCTTAATGGCGTTAGAAAAAGTTTTTGAATATTTATTCTTATGATAGTTTTCAATATTTGCCTGCGAAAGTAGCTAAATGTACTGTGTGTATAGTTTGCTACGTAAAATAAAACAAACAAAATTTTTTTTTAAAAAATCAATTATGCATAGGATTATGCTATAGGGACATGTATTTCTTGTTCTTTTTGGGTGAAGATTGAACAGATTAAAAAAATCTAATTTAACTAAAACAAAATACGAAAGAGAAAGAAAAAGAAAAATGTAGTACATACAACAAAAAATACACAAAGTTTTCTTGTGCTTTGTGCTAAAAAATCGTTTCTTATGTAATATTATTTTATATTCATAAGCTTTGTTTAAATGATTATATTGTGTTGTATTCCATATTTTTGCAAAATATATGTCGTTATAAGCCATTTGGTTGTTATTAGCTACTGTTTCTTAACCTATGTTTAAGCCTGTCCTCGGGGATCGTGCCAGAACTCAGTATTGTACCGTACCCAGTCTCCCCTAAAAATCCAATTTACTAATTTTATTGTTTTCTCAACGTTTCAAGTAATTCTGAAGCGTTTGATTCTAAAATGCAAAAAACTTGTATGTGAGCCAAATTTGACTTTTGTCGACATTTTCTT